GTGGGCGCGCGACACACCGGGCAGGCTACCGCGTCGCCGCCGCCCGCCGTAGCCAGCGACAGGCGAGCAAGGCACTCGAGGCAGAAGACGTGGCCGCAGTCCAGGCGCTTGGGCAGCTTGAACACGCCGTCGAAGGGCGACACGCAGATGAGGCATTCCACTGGGGAGGCGGGGGGCAGGATGGGGCCCGAGCCCGGGCTGCCATCTCCCTCCTCTTCGTCGTCGTCGTCGTCGTCCTCCCCTCTGCTAGGGGAGCGGGGCGCAGAGAGCGAGCCTGGGGAGCTGGGGCCTGATCCCTGAGGGGTCCTGGGGCGGCGGAGCCAGGGCGGCCTAGGGCAGGGCATCCGGATCCGACCTGCAGGGAGAGGCTGTCAGGCAGGAAAGCAGGCGGCGGCGGAAGCTGGAGCAGTCTGGGGAGATCAGCAAGGACTCCAGAGAGTAGCCGAGCTAGACTCTGGAGAGGATGACTCAGAACAGAGCAGGGTCGTCAAGAGAAGAGGGTAGCTAGAGCCAGGAAGCAGAGATGAGATGGAAAGCACAAAGGCAGGGACTGGGGACAGGGATGCACCCTGGTGTGGAAACAGGGGGAACTACAGATCCTGAACTATAGAGACTTGAGCTCAATACAGACGGGGAGGACCTCAGAGACTCCAGGGAGGATCCCAGACAAGCATGGGGGATCCAGCACAGAGTGGGATAGACAGGGACCCCCGAAAGAGCTGGGCAGAGACAGATCCTGGAGGGACCACAGAAGACTCCAGAGAGAGTAGTCAGATATGGGAAGACACCTGAGCCAATGTAAAGGAACCCAGCAACAGAGAGCAAGGCTAGAAGCCCAGGACAGAAGCCAGGAGCTCTCCAGAGTAGTGAGCCCCTAGCTGGCTTGCAGGATTCTTCCTAGCTGTTGACACCTCCTCCCTCTGGCCAGTAGCTCGTCCCTGCCCGTCCAATCTCTGGCCTACCTGTGGCTGGGTATGTACATGCCCCTCCCCAGGGGAGGGTTCCTATCCTGGGGCCGCCCCTCCAGGTCCAGGTTCCCAGGTACCTGCTGGACCTGTCTGACGGCCTGCCCTGCCCAGTGGGTTGGTCCTAGCCTGGAAGGTCAACACCAAGCCCTTCCTTGGCCGGATGTCGGGGGCGGTAGGAAGGTGATGGCACTAGGTGGGCGAACATGCGCCCACCACACCCCCCACCCACCCTTCTAAACCTGATGAATCCTTCAGCACGGAGCCACCGGTTTATGGCCTCTGGTTGGGCCCCAACCTGTCCCCAGCAGCCTGGTGACAACATGCATGGGCCACTAAATGGAGAACCTGAAATGTCTGGGGTGGCAGCGGGCCTGCCTTGTAAGGTATAGAGCTGAGCTTCAGCCACCACCATGCAATGTGGCCTTGGAAGCAACCTGGCTAGAGTGAAGCCAGTCCACAAATCAAGAGGGTAGGACTTCCACGCCCAAGGAGTGGACAGCTGAGCTGGACAGTTTAACAGCCCTGCTAGTGGGCAAGGGGCTGGGAGTAGTTGTGGACCAGACAGATACCAGGCTTTCGCTTCCTCTCACTGGGGCTGATTCCAGGTAACAGGCCTCTCAGGGCAGTCTGTTGCCACCTAGACCTTGTGAGCACTTAAGACCCTAGACTAGTGACATCTGATGTGCAAGGCCCTCAGAAGTTATGGACAACCCTGTCCCTCTCATTTCTAACACATGCTGAAACACTCCGGTTGGCCTGGCCTGCTGTGACTCTGAGTCAGTGATGCTTCCTGAGTGAATCCTGGTCTCCGTAGGCCAACAGATGTGCCAGGAACATGACCAGCCCCAAAAACCACCAGGGCCATCCTGCCCCTTCCCAAGGCCCCTCCAAGAACAGACAGCGTCACAAGTGGGTGGGGCCATCCCAAAAGGTAGACAGGTTTATTGAGCAGCAGCTGGGAATCAGCGGTTGGACTTGGCAACACGCTCCAGCTCATCCTTCTTCTTGATGGCATAGGAGTTGGAGGAGCCCTACAAGGAGGCAGATGGTCAGCTCTGAGTGTTTGAAGGAAACTCCCCACAACTGCCCAACTTGAGCCCCCACCCCCAGTGTCTCTATCCACCTTGGCAGCGTTGATGAGCTCATCTGCGAGGCATTCAGCAATGGTCTTGATGTTCCGGAAGGCAGCCTCACGGGCACCTGTGCACAACAGCCAGATGGCCTAGGGAACACAGGGGTCAAGCTAAGCTGACAGTACTCCAGTACCCTGGCCCACCCCCAACAGATGCTGGCTACCAGGCCATCACTCACAGGTCCACTGAAACAAGATATAGGGGGAGGCTGCAGCTGCCAGACCTTGGATCAGATAGAGGGCCCCATAAACAAGTGTCCAGTGTCACACACATGGGCTGAAGTTGAGTCCCCAATGACAGGTGAACTAAGACCTGCCATGACTGCAAAATGAAATGTATGCTCTTGACATGGACCCTTGATTGACAATGGACAGCTATAAAGACATGCTGGGGGGCCGGCCCGTGGCTCACTCGGGAGAGTGCGGTGCTGATAACACCAAGGCCCCAGGTTCGGATCCCATACAGGGATGGCCAGTTCGCTCACTGGCTGAGCGTGGTGCTGACAACACCAAGCCAAGGTTTAAGATCCCCTTACCGGTCATCTTTAAAAAAAAAAAAAGACATGCTGGGGACAGTTACATTAATGGAACTGTGACCAATTTGATATTCTGTTGCTGTAAAATTCCTTGAGGGTATTGAAAAGCAGGATAGCTCATCCTTGTTCTTAAGACAACCTCTGAGCTGGAGTGTTTAAAGGGAAAATGTCAGAATACTTGTAACTGATTCTCAAATAATCAAAGAACCCCACCCCCCATGTGTAAAAATATGAGGGTACTTCAAAAAGATCATAAAAAGATTCAGTGTCTCTTAATTCTATTTTTCCAGGAACTTTCTGAAGTACCCTTGTATATACCTAAATGAAACTAGACCTCAGCCAAATGTGGCCAGGGAGAGGACTCAGAGCCTGGATCTGCCCCACATGGGGTGGGAATCCAGGATTCCCAGAGGAAGTGATGCTCCAGGTAAAACTTGCAGACAGGGAGGGACAAGCCTTCCTACCCTAGGCAGGACTCCATCCACCCTTGGTGGCTGCTCCTCCCTGAGATGTGCCAAAGTTCTGGGCTCACCTGATTTACACGACGCAGGGGGGACACATCCACAGCCTGCCGTCTCACTGTCCCAGCTCGCCCAATGCGTGTCGAGTCCTCCCTGGGGCCACTGTTGATGATGGCGTTCACCAGTACCTGCAGAGGGTTCTGGAAGGGAAGGGGGCAGTGAGCCTGACATCCTGCCCTATGCATCCCTCTCCCATTCACCTCCCCCCTAGAATGGGGGAGACCACACCATACCGTGGGGCTCTGGGGTGTATTAAGGACACAGCCTGACTCGCCTGGCTGCAGTGCCCTACCTCACCAGTGAGCAGGTGGATGATCTCGAAGGCATGCTTGACAATGCGCACAGTCATGAGCTTCTTGCCATTGTTGCGACCATGCATCATCATGGAGTTAGTGAGGCGCTCCACAATGGGGCACTGTGCTTTGCGAAAGCGCTTGGCGGCGTACCGCCCTGCACTGTGGGGCAGGTACTTGGCATACTTCTCCTTCACTGCGATGTAATCCTGGGACAGCAGGGAGGGGGAATGAAGGGACAATGGTCAGCAGCAGGATGGCCCTCAGCCAGGGACCAGGGAGGGACTGAACATCCACTCAGGGTAGTCCCCTGGCTGCCTGTTATCCTGGTCTGCCACCCCAGGGGACTGGGATGTGAGCCCTGCCTGCCATAAGAAAGTAAAACGTAAAGAAGTAACTTTAGGGCCGGACCGTGGCTCACTTGGGAGAGTATGGTGCTGACAACACCAAGGCCGCAGGTTCGGAGGGATGGTCGGTTGGCTCACTTGGGAGAGTGTAGTGCTGACAACACCAAGTCAAGGGTTAAGATCCCCTTACTGATCATCTTTTATATATAAAAAAAAAAAAGAAGTAACTTTACCAAAGCACCAAATAAACCTCTCTCTTTATGATGGGAAAACATGGATGGAAAACTAAGGAGATTAGAGTCCATAATTCCGGTTTTTATTTTTATTATTTTATTTTTAAAGGATGACCAGTAAGGGGATCTTAACCCTTGACTTGGTGTTGTCAGCACCACACTCACCCAATGAGCTAACTGGCCATCCCTATATGGGATCCAAACCCATGGTGTTGGTGTTATCAGCACCGCACTCTCCCGAGTGAGCCACGGGCCAGCCCCATAATTCCAGTTTTTAAAAACAGTGTTCCTCAAACTCTGCACTATGGACGTTTTGGACCATATAATTCTTTGTTGTGGGGGACTGTCCTATGCACTGTTGGACGTTTAGCAGCATCCAGTATGCACCTCCCTCAGTTTTGACATCTTGAAATGTATCCAGACACTGCAGTGTCCTCTAAGGGGGGAAACCACTCCTGAAAGAGAGTAAGAGTTTAACAAACCCTATACATACATAAACAAATGCACATACACATACATATCCATAAGAAAATGTCTAGAAAAATGCCAAAACGTTAGCCTTGCATATGTAAGGGGAGATGGAATCAGAGGAGCCATGTGAAGAGGACCAATGTCAACAGTTACTACAAAACGTACTAAGGTTATTCTAACACTTGCATATGAGAATGTACACAAAAATGTGTTTCTACAAACACAAGAAATGATGGGAAAAGAAAATAGGAGATACTCGAGTGAAGCATCTGCACAAACATGCAGGTAGAAGGGTGTTCACTGTGCAGCAAAAAAATTGCAAATACCAAATGTCCCAGCAATGGTGTGGCCTCGGAGAGGAGCCCTGCACAGCTGTTCAAAACAGAGAAACCTGATGCCACAGTGACTTTTACTTCCCCAGCCCCTAACAAGCAGGCACTCAAAGAACGTTTGTTTGACAGACCAAGGGATAGTGATAAAGAATCTTTATAATCTAATGGGTTACACAAAAGCAAAAAAAAGAAAACACGTAAGTAATAAAGACCCAATGTGACCTGCAAAGCCTAAAACGTGTACTGAGCCTTTCAATAAAAAGTTTGCAGACCTCCCCGAACAAACCCAAGGAAGAAAAGCAAACATTCAGAGTGAAAAACAGGGCTGAATTATCCATTAGGCATAGTGCCTAGGTCCCATGATATCTTCAGAGGCAAGAAAAATGTTTTAATTTCTTTTAAAACAGAAAGGGAAAAAGTGAACCTGGATTATATTCACCTTTTCACCAATGCAGTCACAAAATACAGTTTTTAATTTTTTTTTTCACTTTGGAGGAAGGGTTCACAAAAGCAAAAGTTCCTAAGGCCCACCAAATTCATAATAAAGCCCCAGTGAAATTCATAATAAGGGAGGTTTAAAAAAAAAAGGCTACATATAAAACAGTACAGGGGTAAGAACAAAGTAAGAACTCACACTTCCCAATTTCAAAACTTAATACAGGGACAGCCGATTAGCTCAGGTGGTTAGAGCGCAGTGTTATAACACCAAGGTCAAGGATTCAGAACCCCACACTGGCTAGACACAAAACCAAAACCAAAACTTAATACTAAGCTATAGTAATCAAGACAGTGCGGTATTGCCATAAAGATAGATAAAGACCAAGGGAATTATAATTGAGAGTCCAGAAACAAATCCATACAGCTAAGGCCATTAATTTTTGACAAGGGGGCCAAGATCATTCAATTGGGAAAAGAATAGACTCAACAGACAGTGCTGGATAAGTGGATATTCACATGCCAAAGAACAAGGTTGGACTTTTACACTTTAAAATGGTGAATTTAGGGGCCGGCCCGGTGGCGCACTGGATAAGTGCGCCGCTTGGGAAGCGCGGCGGCGCTCCCGCCCGAGGGTTCGGATCCCACATACGGACCGGTTCCCGCTCACTGGCTGAGCGAGGCGCGGGAGCAACACCGAGGGTTGCAATC